GTAGCAAATAACGTTGATAGATCGAGAACACGGTACGACTCATTACGTTGAATATTCATCAAGACGAAACCTCTTTGCTCAATGAATTTAAATCGTCGAGTCTAGAGAAAGAGCCAGGGAACGAGTGGGCGAGGATCGTGATTTAGAGACGAATTTGTCCCTTCCCCGAAGCGATCCGCGATAGATCAGGAATACCGATCTCGAACCGGCACGGATTCGATTCGTGATTTTTAAATCGACGACTCTCTCTTTTCGCTGGCCACGTTTAGGCGTCCTTTCCAAGATCGATATTCGGTTCACGTGCCAGTGCAAATAGAAATTCAATCGGATCGCGCCTGCACCGAATCTTGCCCTCGACTGACCCAGATTATTATCTTACCCGGCGTTCCTATTTTCGTTCGGTCGATCGTGTTGTGTTTGGCACTGAACTTGCACCGTTTTAATTAAACATCGACCACTTTAACGTCCAAGAACCCCCGATTGTACGGGCGAAAATTGTCGGAACGGTTTTCTAGGGGCCGCGATTGATCGAAAATCGCGATTACAAATGGCCACGTGTGCTGGTAACGAAACGAACGCTCGTAAAATCAGGTCGCGGTTGGCAATATGTATTTAGGAACGAGGCTTTAAGGTGGTATAATTTATGAAAACTGTATGACGATTTGAGGATTTTTCTTTTTGGTTTTAATTTTATCGCAAAATGGCCCTTTTCTCGTACTTTCTGGGCCTTTTTTTGGCATTTTAGTCCAAGGATTCCAAGTCCCGTGTGGAGTTTGGAGGTTCCTTAGTGACCATATCCTAATTTATCAAGTAAAAATGTCTCGAAGGCATAATCCTCAAAAAATGGCGGAGAAATCACGTATAATTTATGAAAACTGTATAACGATTTGAGGATTTTTCTTTTTGGTTTTAATTTTATCGCAAGATGGCCCTTTTCTCGTACTTTCTGGGCCTTTTTTTGGCATTTTAGTCCAAGGATTCCAAGTCCCGTGTGGAGTTTGGAGGTTCCTTAATGACCGTATCCTAATCTATCAAGTAAAAATGTCTCGAAGGCCTAATCCTCAAAAAATGGCGGAGAAATCACGTATAATTTATGAAAACTGTATGACGATTTGAGGATTTTTCTTTTTGGTTTTAATTTTATCGCAAGATGGCCCTTTTCTCGTACTTTCTGGGCCTTTTTTTGGCATTTTAGTCCAAGGATTCCAAGTCCCGTGTGGAGTTTGGAGGTTCCTTAGTGACCATATCCTAATTTATCAAGTAAAAATGTCTCGAAGGCCTAATCCTCAAAAAATGGCGGAGAAATCACGTATAATTTATGAAAACTGTATAACGATTTGAGGATTTTTCTTTTTGGTTTTAATTTTATCGCAAGATGGCCCTTTTCTCGTACTTTCTGGGCCTTTTTTTGGCATTTTAGTCCAAGGATTCCAAGTCCCGTGTGGAGTTTGGAGGTTCCTTAGTGACCATATCCTAATTTATCAAGTAAAAATGTCTCGAAGGCATAATCCTCAAAAAATGGCGGAGAAATCACGTATAATTTATGAAAACTGTATAACGATTTGAGGATTTTTCTTTTTGGTTTTAATTTTATCGCAAGATGGCCATTTTCTCGTACTTTCTGGGCCTTTTTTTGGCATTTTAGTCCAAGGATTCCAAGTCCCGTGTGGAGTTTGGAGGTTCCTTAATGACCGTATCCTAATCTATCAAGTAAAAATGTCTCGAAGGCCTAATCCTCAAAAAATGGCGGAGAAATCACGTATAATTTATGAAAACTGTATAACGATTTGAGGATTTTTCTTTTTGGTTTCAATTTTATCGCAAGATGGTCCTTTTCTGGTACTTTCTGGGCCTTTTTTTTTGGCATTTTAGTCCAAGGATTCCAAGTCCCGTGTGGAGTTTGGAGGTTCCTTAATGACCGTATCCTAATCTATCAAGTAAAAATGTCTCGAAGGCCTAACCCTCAAAAAATGGCGGAGAAATCACGTATAATTTATGAAAACTGTATAACGATTTGAGGATTTTTCTTTTTGGTTTTAATTTTATCGCAAGATGGCCATTTTCTCGTACTTTCTGGGCCTTTTTTTGGCATTTTAGTCCAAGGATTCCAAGTCCCGTGTGGAGTTTGGAGGTTCCTTAATGACCGTATCCTAATCTATCAAGTAAAAATGTCTCGAAGGCCTAATCCTCAAAAATGGCGGCGAAATCACGTCCTTATCGTAAACACCTCGGTTACTGGTAAAAGGGAAGAGGGCAAAGGGTTTGAGAACAGCGTGGCCGTTGCACAGGGCCGGGAACTTGTGGCAAAGGGCGCTGGATTTGAGAAAAAAAGCGAGTACAAGAAGAGTCTACGAAAATGGTCCAAGATGAGAGGCGGTGTTCCGAGTGGATGGCCGCCTCAATTTTCCTCTTTCTTTGGCGTCCATAGACCGAGAAACCGACCTTCTTGAATCGCTCGAAAGTACTTCCGTGCTCGAAGTCTGGCTTTAGGGATCGCTTTTCAGAGATTCCTAGTCGAGACGTTGAGCGACGTGTCCTGGAAACGCGTCAAACTTCGTGGAAAGCGTTGCTTCGTCGTAAAAGAAGTTTGCACCGGAAAGGAATGGATGCAGAGTTAGGATGTCGACTCCATTTGTCGACGTAGATACGATAAAAGTGTAGGAAAATTAGTTTTGGGAAGACGAACGACACTGTTGCGTTACAAAATCGTCCCCACTGATTTTCATTTATTGTAAATTAATTTTAGAATTGAATTGTACACGATCGTTGACACAAATTGTAAATTAGGTACTGTATTTACTTCTAACTCTTTAAGATGAAAAAATTGTTTGTACTTCGGTAAAAAGAATGTAATTTCATTCGAAAACTGAAATATTTACATAATTATAGCAATAATTATTATTCATAATATTTCGTTACTTTTTATCTATTTCTATACAACATTTTATTACATAAAATCTGAAATTATCAATTACCTTATCTTATCGATTTGACACAATATACTTTGAACTTCAAGGGACTAAAACCTAAAAGATCTTTTATTTTTAATTGTCAATTCTGATAATATGCTTCTTTAGTTTGTAAACCATTTATTTAACTGTTATTTTGATCAATTAACAAACGAAATTGGTTTTTCATAAAATTGTACTTTTCATCCATTTTGATCTATCGTCTCAGGATCCAAATAAACAAATTTAATGAACCTTTTTATGGTGAATACTAAAAAGTCACTAAACACCCTAACTGAAGGAATTTAAAAAAGAAAATAAATGAAGTTTTGAGAGATACCTTGCGATCCCCATGGCGAATTGCCTTTAAAAAATCGTTTCGTGGAAAATTGAATGGTCAGAGAAGCCGGAATAGGTCTGTTTTTACATCACGCGGAACGTTTAATTAATGATCGATCGGTAGCGTGGAAAATGCGAAAACGCTGCGAGGAAGTTGGTAAAAATAGACGAACCGATATCGATGATAATCCGGGTCACGCGAGAACGAGATTGATCGGGCGAAACCGCGATCGAATCGAAATTCAACGCACGATAGAACTCGACGTAGCTTGTAGGTCGAGCCTACAGGGTGAACTACCATGTAAGCCGTGTTCGACTCGATAGTAATCGCGTGACTGTTTCTTCCACGAATACCGTACCAAACGCAGAGACACCCACGCTCGTCCGTTCGCGTCTCGGGTCGTTATCGTCACATCCTGATCACCAGGAAAGAACCGGAATACGGTGGAACATCGCACAGTAGGGTATTTGCATCCAAAAAGCGAGGAAAAAACATCAAATGACTAAAATCCTATATTTACTTCATATTTTTTTATTACATACAGTCAGTCTATGAGATAAAATAATAGAAAAAAAAAATTAAACAAAATTGACAACTAACAATATTAATTATGACAAAGCAAAACTATTCTTTCTCATTATTCTTAAAATTGAGGTTCAATTTCATCTTCTGAGAATTTATTCGGATAAAATGGTTTCTTTTTTCCTTTATTTTTGTCCTTGTGCTCGTCGTTGGAGGAGTGAGTGCATGTTCTTAATTTAAAAATTAAAAGAATAATCAATAATGCATATTGCAAGATGTTGAAATATGTATTTATATTTTATTAGAACATGCAACTTTAAATGTCCATAACATTATTAAAAATTAAATATAAATTAATTAATATTTTTAATAATTAATTAATATTTTTAATAATTAATTAATTTATATTTTATTAGAATATGCAACTTTAAATGTCCATAACATTTTCAAAAATTAAGGGGGTCTTCTACTGTAAAACACGTTTTTTTATGTTCTCTTTGGTATTTTCTTATAATGAAACTATATAGTTAAACCGAGCAATACGTATACCTTCGTTAATTTTAAGAGTTCGATGATATGCTTCTGCACATATATTTCTAAAACTATATTCTTGGTCTGCCCGTTTCTAACAAATTTTTGAAGGCCTCTCACGCTGGTTCCTATTATAGTAATTAATTTTTTTTTGTTATTAATTTTTGTACGAAATTTTTACAAAGAGTAGCTCAAGAATTATACTTTCGAAAACATTAATCATTCATAGTTACGCCCAAAAAATTCTTGAAAATTGCTGTTATTTTCGGCCATGACAGTAGTTTCTCCCCTGAAAGTTCGTACAAGGAATGGTCACGAAAATAAATGTAAAAATATGTTGATTTCAATATATGTACTGTAAGACTCGATGACGAGTATCCTCAAACTTGATACCAAGAACTCGTATACACCAAGGGATAGAGATTCAAAAACATAAATATACCCGACCTCTGCGACAAGCGACGAGCCAGTACCGAGAACGAATCCTGGTGGGGATAGCAGCCCAGCGAATTTCCAGGGTACCCACTGTGCGTCGATCCTACGGTTCCCAGAGTCCTTCGCGATTAGCTCCGGATGATTTCACGCGACGACGTGCTCCTCGTTCCGCGATTCCACGAGCCCGGTCGAAGAAAAGATACGAAACGAGAATCTACCTTCAGAGTATCGAGGACGGGGACAAGGAGGAAGCGCGTCGAAGTCGACCCCAAATGCGCCGCAGGGAGAAGAAGGAAGTGCAGCAGCAAGCCGCGACCGCGGAACGTTGTTGACGTAGTCGAGATCGAGCAGCGCGGATTTGACGTAAGTGCGAGAAGCCGCAGACGAAAAATGCGAAACGGCGGTCAGCCGCAGCAGACGGCGGTAATGGCGCCGCCGCACCTAAACGGGTCCGCGCAATTCGTTTCCGGCGGTTACGTCGGCTACGTGCCGCGCCAGCCCTGGGGGCAATTCCAAGGCCCGCAGCATCCCAGGAACACGGCCAGGCCTCTGTCGCATCCGCCGCCGCCACCACCCTCCAGAAGGGAAAGTCAAAGACCCTCTGACATCGGCCCCGCCAACCCTAAAAGCACATCTCTTCCGCATACTAGGCCAGGGACGCACAGGAGCACCACCCCCTCGGTGAGTTCAGTTGAAATTCTCTGCCACCTTTCGCTCTTTCCCCTATTCCCCACACACACACACACGTTTTAACGCAACCGCGAGGAGTATTCGTTACAACCGGAGCTCGTCGAACAGAGCGAATACAAATTTCACTTGGACACTTGATTGATCTCTTTTTTACGCGGTAGAGCAATTTGGGGTGTACTCTGTAGAGCCTGGTGAAGCATGAAAGACGATGCTTTGTGAAAAACTCTTGACTTATTATCGATTAACCTTACTAACTTTAGAAAGGTATTCTTAAAAGTAACCTATTCCCCACGTGAAATTATTTAATAATTTAATAATAGTACATGATGAATGTGTATCGGTTTGTCGGAACCCAGTGTTCGGCCATCTCTGGGAAAAATTTTAATGGGAGATTCTAGAGATCAAAATAAGACGAAAATCAAGAATACCAATTTGTTGATGCACGCTTCGTTAAAAAGTTATTAACAATTAAATCCAAAAATTTCAAATCGTTCTGGAAAAATTATTTTCGGTTGAGGGGGTCAATTTCAATCATTTTTGGTGAATAGTCATACCCTCGAAATCCTACCCACTTTCTAGAAAAAAATTCGAGAAGGTGTGAAATTTTTCGACGGAAAAAAAGAATTTCAAATCGTTTTGGAAAAATTATTCTCGATTGCGGGGGTCAATTACAATCATTTTTGGTGAATAGACATACCCTCGAAATCCTACCCACTTTCTAGAAAAAAATTCGAGAAGGTGTGAAATTTTTCGACGGAAAAAGAAAATTTCAAATCGTTTTGGAAAAATTATTCTCGGTTGCAAGGATCAATTATAATCATTTTTGGTGAATAGACATACCCCCGAAATCTTGCGCATTTTCGAGAAAAAAATTCAGTACAGGCGGAACTTTAAACGTCAATAACTTTTTAACAAAGCCTCCATCAACAAATTGATATTCTTGATTTTGGTCGTATTTTGGCCTCTAGAATCTCCCATTAAAATTTTTCCCTAGGGTGGCCGAACACCCTGTACATTGGTAACGGTGAAGTAACAAATGAAATACAAGAGACAAAAAATCCACGGAAAATACAAATCCTGGAGGGGATTTGAAAGCTAACCAAGGGATTACGACTGTGACGTTCGTAGCAATTTTGAGATCCTCGTGGGAAGGAGGTGGTTGTCTAAATCTCCTCGAATACATATGAAATATACACTATGTCCCACTTAACGCCTTAAATATCAGCTGTTAATGGTACAAACACACTTTGAAAGAGACAAATATTTGGTTTCAAAACGATATTATGATTCGCAAAAATTTGCCCCAAAGTAACCTTTTTCCGGTATTTTAGAATCAAACGATATGTATTCCTATTGCTACGGTGTTACAGTCGATGTCAGAAATACAACGGTATATAGCAATATGTCCTCCAAATAGCCTCGTGTACGAACAATTTAAGAATACATGAAAAAGCGTAAAAGCAACGACACCCAGTCACAATAGAGAAACAATTAGCGAGCATTTATTCTAGGAAACGCTTAAAATGGTATCCATTGACGTCAGTGCATTTCTGTAGATGATAAATAAAAAATCCCTGGTCCTTTTTATAGTCTCTTTGCTAATACTAGTATGTGTAGTTTTAAAACATTCATATTTATACTAAATGTAGAAACATCTTTATAAATAACTGGTTTTCACGTTGATCGAGTCGAGTATTTGCGCTACTTTCGATTCGATCGAAAAAATTTTTTATTTAACCTTAATCGTATCGAGGTGTGATTTGGGTCACTCATCAAGTTTGAGTAACTGCAAGATCTATAAGTATATTTGTACACTGATGATATTTTACTTATAGACGCCTAAATATGTGACTGACAGCACGATTAGGGTTAAGTTTTCATAAGCTATAACTGCATTGTGAACTGAATATCTGTCAAGCAGGTACAATTTTTTTTAATAACTCTGATAATTCAGTAGAGATACAATTTGCATATTCTTGCCCATTTAAGGTGTACTGCTCCATATATCGTCGAAACTATTTTATATCTGCAACGAATCGATAGTGCATATTTACGCGTATTTAATATCTCGAAGAAGCTTTTCGTTTCGTTGTAATTGTTACAATGTCGAGAATAATATGATTCTAAAAGTCAGTAAACGTAGTTTCTAGTGCAAAGAAATATGGAACGAACGGAATTTGCGACGTCGAGAATGACATGTAATTTGTTGACAACATCTGGAGAACGTTTGCCATTCCAGCTAAAATAATAATTTCTGACTGTTCTCCAATAATAGAATTAGGTCGTTTCCTTTCGAACGAATCGTTGGATCAGTTGGTGAAAAGTCTTTTCATGTAAAATCGGTATAATTATACTGCGTTTCTTTCTGCTATCATAAATTAGTTGCACAAAAATGATTTAATTTTTAATAATAATGAAACAGATCTGATCGTTATAAGCCTTCGCCAAAAATGGGAAAGAATAAATTGTATTTGGAATTCTATCTAAAACAAGTTTTGTCTATCGTAACATTTGCCCCTTTGACATTTCGAGTTTCCTCTATAAACAAAAAATTACATTCGTTTCGAAGTATCAGGATTTCGATTAAGAGTTGCTCGAATTCCTGCCAGACAGTGCGTATCAGCACGTACTTATTTTCACCTAACTGCATTTTATGTATATGATAATGTCTGTATCCCGTACGAATGAATGAAAGATAACCATCTCGAATAAACCGAATAGGATTTAAAATAGTTGATTATGAGAAATATAATTTAATCTCTTAGGTTTCAGACGCAATAGTTCCGATTTAAGCGGACAATGATCACGATCGAAGCTAAGAATTTAACGTTCTCGAGCGCAGAAAACCATTCTGTTTATTTAAGAGTTTATTTTTAAGAAAAACTCTTAACCTTCATTTGCGAGTAATTATCGATCGTTTCGTTGTAACGATTTCCGTTTAAAGTTCGACGGACGGACGTCTGTTTAAATGTAGGTCGAAAGTTTAAAATCTTCCGTGTAAAAATTCTTGAGCGACGCGTTCGATGGCGAAAGAACGCTGGAAAGCAAACATATTTACTCGTGGCGATCGCGTTGATGGTCACTGAAAGAGCTCAATTAAAAGTTAATTTATCACTCGCGGGCCTTTTCGTTCGACTAGTTTCGACTGCCTTGTCTCGATTGGCCGCGATCGAGAAAAAGTGTGAAGGATAAACAGCAGAGAAAGAGAAAGGCGAGCGAACAGGAATCCTCTTATGCGTCGCGGATATCTAGAAAAGCATGTCGTAGAATACCATATGAGGCTTAAAACCAACCGTGAAGGAATGTCACAAACTCTACCTGGTGTACCGTGCATACCTGACGATCTATTGATATCGTTGTCAAAGTAAAAGGGATTTATTAAATTCACGTTCCCTCAAAACACTGCCGCTGAACGTAACAACTCGTTTATATGTATGTATATCTATAAATATACAGGGTGTCCGGTCAACCCTGGGAAAAAATTTCAGTGGGAGATTCTAGAGGCTAAAAGAAGACAAAAATCAAGGATATTAATTTGTTGATTGAAGCATCGTTAAAAAGTTATTAACGTTTAAAGTTCCACCTCACCTGAATTTTTTTTTCGAAAATGCGTAGGATTTCGGGGGTACGTGTGTTCACCAAAAATAGTTGTATTTGACCCCAGAACCTAGAAATAATTTTTTTAGAACGATTCGAAATTTTTTCTTTTCGCCGAAATATTTCAGCAGCTACTGTCGATTTTTCATAAAACTTCGTTTTTCATTTTTAATAAATTTGGCTCACATTGTACGGAAATTTTATCTAATACTTTCTTATAGGTATCCATGAGCTCTATTTTAGAAAAAAATTTAATTGAAATATATTCATTATTTTGGGAGTTATGGTCGTTTGAAAATTGGACCATTTTTATGGGGTTTTTCTCATTTTGCGGTATCAAGGATCAACTGTTCGAATATTTTTGCAATTTCTGCATATTCTTCACTAAAATACGCGTTGTTTGCTCGTCGAAACATTAAAATCCTCCAATCCGTTCGGAAGTTATGATATTTTAAACGTTTCCATGTAATGTCGAGGAAGCATTTCTGACCAGAATATATATTTTTGGTAAAGAATTTTTTTCTCGAAAGTGCGTAGAATTTCGAGGGTATGACTATTCACCAAAAATAATTGCAATTGAACCCTGCAATCGAAAATAATTTTTTTAGAACGATTTGAAATTTTTCAATTTTGTCAAAAAATTTCACACCTACTCGAATTTTTTTCTCAAAACTGAGTAGGATTTCGGGGGTATGTCTATTGACCAAAAATAATTTCAATTGAATCCTGCAATAGAAAATAATTTTTTTAGAACGATTTGAAATTTTTCAATTTTGTCAAACAATTTCACACCTACTCGAATTTTTTTCTCAAAACTGAGCAGGATTTCGGAGGTATGTTTATTGACCAAAAATAATTGCAATTGAATCTTGCAATCGAAAATAATTTTTTTAGAACGATTTGAAATTTTTAAATTTTGTCAAAAAATTTCACACCTTCTCGAATTTTTTTCTAGAAAGTGGGTAGGATTTCGAGGGTATGTCTACTCACCAAAAATGATTGTAATTGACCCCCACAACCGAAAATAATTTTTTTACAACGATTTGAAATTTTTCAATTTAATTTTCAATAACGGGACAAATAGATGTGGATAGATCGTTTTGTCAAAAATTCTGACCACTGTTTCGAGCAACTCCCCCACCTTGATAAGTAGGAGCATGTTCGTACTGTTTGCTAGTCTGGGATAAAGCCTTGAGATTGACATCGACACGCACGCAGGCCACGAAACGCGGGGAGAATGCGAGATTCGAGCCTGTTCTACCGAGAGAGACCAGTTTTCACCGTGAAGCTTTACTCAACCCTAACCTCAGAGTCCTGCAGGCAACCTGATACACGTCGAGATGCTAGAAAGTGGTCTCGGTGTTACGTTTCGAGCAATTCGATCGAACGCTTCG